GGTTTGATAGAACAAATAGATCTTTTTACAACATGACGTGCAGTGTTGTTAAAGGAATCTTGCGCGGAAAATTCTTGCACTCTTTCCTAACATGAATATGTCAGTTGTGATCACTGGAAATAGCACACAAAGTTTCACGCATGAAGATTCGGTTTCTGAAGAGAAACAAACGTACAAAAACTACACGTTATGGACCATCGAAGGACCAGGAGGCAGAGCCAGGCGAGGCATGGAAAGAAGACGGCGTTTGGCCGGCTACGTACCAGGCGACGCAATGAGAGAATCGGGTTAAAGCGCGCGATTTCGGAGAGTGGAGACAAATCGATCGATGGAATAGGATGGAGTAGAAGTGTAAGATGTGAATGCAACGAAGCAGAAGGCCAGAAAGAGCTTCTAGTGAATGCACTCCAAGAACCAAGTTTGAGCATCCCCGTCGCCAGCATTCGTGAAAGACGTCCGTGGGCAATTCGAACGCGTAGCAGCCTTTTCGAGTTTTCGAATTTCTAATCAAAACGAAAGCAATACTTCAGTTCTTTTCACTATTATCGTGGATAATGAGTCTCAAGCCAGTGATTTATGGCTGAAATAGAATCATGATTTTTCCGCGCAAGATTCCTTTAAGGCTCGACATCGGGCTACTCAAGACATCAGAATGGTTAGGAGTGTGAAGAGCAGCAACGGTATCATGCTAAGAAAGCTAGCCGAAGTCAAAAGAAGGTGGAAGAATACTGCAGTGCACTCATTAACGAGGAGTTTCCCCTACGAAAACTTCGCACATCATGGGCGACGGCCGATCTCATCTCACTGTGGACAGGAGATGAGGTTGCGACAAGAGAGAAAGGTGAATTTTGGAAGGCGGCTGCTTCATATGGGCACCAACTGGTGGACAAAGGCATTTGGAAAGTACCGGATAAAAGATGGCTCACTCCGATTCCTCAACACCGTTACGCGAAAGGAAGGATGCCGAATGCCTGGAAAAAGTACTATCGTCTCTAACTTCAAACAGGAGAGTGGCTTAACGGACTGCTCCAACCACCGCGATGAAGTTGACTGCTCGTATCATGAGGCTGTAAAAAGCAACTGGTCGACTCGAAGGTGTAGGATCTGATTTATATCCTAGGAACAGTCTGGACTCAGCCTGGGAGGTTATCAAGTATCCATCTCCATCGCTATCCGAGTGGACGGAAAAGTTCGAGGGAAGCGTCGATCCGTTTTCTTGCCTTCTTTGATTTAGAGAAGGTGTTCAACTGTCTAATTTTGAGCCTTATACCATGTTCCCGTTGCTGTAAATTCGCCCATGTGGTCGCCCATGCGGTAGGCGTTTATGGAGTGGTTTGATCATTTTTTAATATGCTTTTCAATTTCCAGTTGGGAGCATGTGGTCTGATATAGCAAAGGGGCTCGTTTGCGTGCAGTTGGAAGGCGAGCAACTCTTATCGAAACCAAAGGCAAGGAAGTGTAGTTCCTGAATATTCTGTAGTAGTTTTGGAGCGAAGAAGCCGCTCGCTGGATTGTGTTCCCACTTCCAGTAGCGTCGCTTACTGACCCCTTTTTCAGCCTTGCAGCATTCGAAGAATTCCACTCATTAATCTCAATCTCCTGGCCCTATATTTCATTTCTGGCATATGTCTCAGCAATCTTCTGCCTAATTGCCTACCTACTTTCACATCTTCGTAGGCTTATCGCTACTGTGAGTTACGCTGTTTCTCTGAACTATTTGATGAAGTGATATGTACAAATCGGAAGATTCATTGCGCTTGACTTTCAT